AAGATTCTCACAGACCTGGAATTACAGTGATACTTTTCTCACATTTCTCTAAACTAGCTTTCACACTTTCAAAGATGTAAACACAGTGGACACTGAAACTTTGCAGTCCAACTCCATTGGAAAAGATACCCATGGGAATCAAAATCATCTCATGTCATACCAATAAGCAAGTATACGTTTATCGTAAAATATCTGCTTGCCTGCAGTTTTATCTATGATATCTTGTTTGTTTCTGTACAATATGCAAATGTACAAAAGTTTCTATTTTCATTTCAAAGACACATTCAATGTTGGTCGTGCCATCTGAAATCTCTTCAGAAAATAGACATGAAAAAAAAAAAAAAAATGCGAACATCGTTGTAACCCCGCCAAAGCTGAATGCCAATTAGCAGGATTTTTCTGTCACAAAAGAGGACTTTCACGCAGTTTTGGAATGTGAGTGTTCAAAGCAACACAAGACGTAAAAGAGCTCAATAGTGGCCAAATCACATGCATTCAAATTGCAACAGCAACATTGAGCTATAAAGCAAGGAATCTCTGTACGTCTGTCTATTCTTTGCATATCTCAAGAACTGTTAATGCGGGGGACCAAAGGGAGTGCTTTTGTCGACTATGGTGCGATTTATACGCTTCACGTGTTCAGTATGGGATTTTTGGGGGGCCAGTCAAATGCTGTCTTGCTTTACTTTTCACCCTTAGTAACATAATTCAATATCTTTTCATCGCTTAATCATAATAATTATGTAGCTGTTTGGGGGCCTTATTGTTGCCTAACAGTAAAATGTGCCCCCCCCCATGGTGTTTTTTCCCGTGACCCAGAGTGCATTTCACCGGTGTTTCTGACTGTGATTATCTGCGATTTGAGTGTGTGACACAACTATGTCATTGCAGGTGTATTGCTGAGGACCCAAGGAAGCGCAGTGTTTGTGTGAAAACGTCTTTGTATGAGCTGCGTTTGAGAAAGCTTCAAGTAGCAACACCACAGGCCGAGTATTCTGAACACGGGGGGGGCAGTCAGTCAAAAAAGAAAAAAAAACCTTGTTCTCCTCTAGCCTACTCCATAGTTCTCTCAAAGGTATGCCTCCGGTTAAGTTAAACTAATATTTCCCTCACCTGAAGCCAATCCCTAATCACCATCCCCTCTATCAATCCATTTAGCTGCACCTGCAGTGGGCCGCTTCCAGCACCTGATGCCAACATCCAACCAGCAGCTCGTCCACCAACGGCAGCATCAAGATTTCACGCAGTCACGATGATGGAGGCCCAGACAGAGGTGGTTGAGTGCTCATGCCAGAGTTCATCCCTATAATTATCAGCAGTGTTTAACCATATTCAGAAATATATAATATGTTTACAGCAATATGACCAACCTTTGTGTTATGTGTGAAGCAGTTTACTGTGACTATTTCAACTAAGTTCTTGCACACAACAGTGTCTTATTGACAGGCGGGTTTAGCCAACTAAACTGCTTGCTTAGGCTTAGGAAATGATCATGGTTTGCGTTAAAATAAGTATGTTAGTTGTGTAACAAAAGTACAGTTATAAGTCAATGGTGACTTTTGGTTTAACACAGGTCACAGCAGTCTTCGAGGTGAAAGTCCAGAGTATGTTTGAGCCATCCATCACCCATGACCACCTGCCGCAATGGGTTTTGTTGCTCTTCATGCCACGTCACCTGACTTCCTCCTTTGTTCCTTTCATAATTACAAAGGTGGGAGAGGTCGGAGTCGTCCTTCTGAAACCTACTAGGTGTAGCAGGAACCCTCTAAACCGTATCTATGAGGCTGATGAACCACTGACAACACTCATATAATTGGTGTTAACATCTGGAGTGGGTTTAGTGACATATTTTCGCCGTCGGTTGCACACTATAACCTGCACTCACAATGTGTTTTAGAAAGATTAAAGTTATTTGGTAAATATACCTTTTTTTTTGTTGACAAGACAACTCCACTGGGTACCTTACATTGTAGTCTGTTTTAGCTTTTTATTTCTTTTTCACCCCCGCCCCTCAGACAGCCAGAGTCCACCATTGGATTAAGGAGTTGTCAGTGTTTTCATCTTAGAACTTTATTCCTTTCAACAGTGTGTGTTTAGTTCATGAAAGTAAATTGTTACATTTTGGTCCTCTAAAAATGTCTTATTCAGCATTCGGATGTACTTAGCTCCACCCTCTCATGGCACTTCTGGTTCCAAAAAAACAACAACATGGTGACAGCCAAAAACCAAGATGGCTACGGCCTAAATGCAGAACTGGAGATGCCAAAAATGGTAGTCCACAAACAAATGGGTGACCTCACGTTTTCCTTTTGGGAGAATCATTTTGTATATCAGTTTGTACTGCAGCATTAGTCACTTGGACATTTTACTGTTGGAGAATGTGTGACCAATGGAGAAAAGTGTTGTTTGCATTCACAGCATGACTGGAAAGCAGAAAACTTTAACAAAATAAAGATTGGCAGACATTTCTGCAATTTTTCATTTTCTCTTCCCAAATTTCCTTAGCACTCTCCATGGGGCATGAGTAGAATAAGCAAAAACAAAGAGAACATATTTTAAAATGGGTATTCTGAAGCTTTAGCCATTTTGCCATCCGGATATTCCCTAACTTTTACTTTGTGTGTTTAAAATGCAACGATTCGGTTCGAAAATTACTTGTTGGGGCAGAAAAATGTGAATAATGTATCATCTCTTGTCAGGACTTATTTTAATTGTGTGCTAGCAGTCATTGCGTGGGAGTATGAGTCAATTTTTTTTAAACATCTTGTTCTCGCCATTGAGGTCTTTGTAACGGCATGGAATGCTTTCCATAGCATCATTTTAGACCACTCATCCACTCGAAAGCAAGATCGATGCTACACACAAAGCAACGATAATATGTGTTTCAGTGATGATTTTGTAGCTTTGTGAACAATGTTTCAGAATCGCCTACAAGCTCTATTCCACATTGACTTATTCCAAAGGCCTTGGGACACGGAGTTGTTCATGTTATTTCTTGTGAGCTTTGCTTGATGCGGTAGATTCATACTGGCTGTTGCTCGTGAGGCTGTGGAGAAAGAACCATGGACTGTGTGAGAGTCTTTGGATGTTTTGATTTTGTTTTTGCCTCAAGGGTTGATTAAAATTGTCGGTTGACTATTAATGTGGCTGTGTTTCAAACATTTTTTTGACATATACATGGAAATTATCAAATTTAACCAAACCACTGCAGTATAATATGGTATGCTCGCAAACTGTTATGATGTACTGTTTCAACTTGCAGTTTTAATGCCATGTGCACATGGTTCTGTAGTACTTACAACACATTTGTTACAGTTTTAGGGTGAAACATCAGCTCGTTATGTCTGACACAGGGTTACCATACTGTATTTTAGTTTGATTACATAACCCTACAATAATCTCTACCTCAGCCTGAGGCTTCAACCCTATTCCTCATGAATCATAATGTTGGATAAATTATATTGCATTTTCTGAAAAAAAAACATACTTGTAGTCATGATTCTGAGGGAAGTCATAGCCAATGATTCCCTATGATGAAATTCTATTTTAATTAGTGATAATTAAAACTGCCTCACTGCATTCACATAAAGCCTCTGCATATCATCCCAAATAAAGAACATATATCCCTTATAATAAAGCATTATCGCTACTGTTATTTAGTTCTACCAAGTGTCTTTTGAGATAGACTAAAGGATGAAAATGCACGTCCATAATAAATGTACAACATGATTGGAATCATCTTCTTTCTGCTGTACTTCCACTACAGAAATTTCGAAAGGGTTTGATTTTAATTCGACGATAGAGGGCGCTAGTAAGCAAGGATAAACGCCACTGTTGGAATTCAGACAGCCCGTCTGAGAAAGATGCAGCTGCTGAGACGGGCTGCCTCTTTTCCTCTCTCCCCCGTTCTCACGCTCCCTCTATCCCTCTTTGCCCCTCAGTCCTTCACTCACTCATTCACTGTATATTCAGACGCATGCAGCGCCGCACTGACCCTGTATAAAAACGGGAGAGCATCCCCAATTCCAATTTGGAGTAGAGTATCCTCACGCGCGCGCACCAAAGCACAAGTTTCTTCTTTTTTTTTCTTTTTTGCTCTTAACACAGCAGTGAAAATGCGCCATAGTTAAAGTAAATCCACGCAATCACCGAACATGTGCTCATTTAACCACCTTACACAGAGTGTCCTTTTAAGCATGATGATCAGAGTGACCGCCGGCATCACGTGAATGTTTGCCCAACACTGTGCCCATTACAAGTACTCGGATTGCAGCTGCGGTAGGACACACACGGCGCACACTAATTTTACGCGGGGACTTGGGTTTGCGTAGTGGCCGTTCGTCTGGAGGGCCACGCGGGAGGGATGTCGGTCTTTCTTCCTCTTCACGCAAATTAACTCACAGCCACTGTATGAGGCTCCTCGATGCTGAGTGGACCGAACAGCACGCAGGCGAAAAAGACACCGAGCCCGCCGCGCCGGAGAGCGCAGCCACTTGCGACCACACGCATCCATATTATAGTAACCACAGGGAAACCACAGCACTGCGCACACAGCCAGCCAGCCCCTGTCCCGTCCCGCCAGTGTCGTCCGCTGCTGGACAGATATTTTGGAACACATCAAATTAAAAACATAACTTGTGTTGTCAACCTCGGAGTGCGTAAAAGTTATGGTTTGAATTTGCGGGGAGGTTGTCTTTTTTCTTGGCAAGGAGTCTCTTGCGGCAAAAGCCAACATCCCCGCATCACACTGCATAGACTACAACATGAAATAACGCGTTGCTTGTTGTAATGTAAAATACATTAAATTGTATTTTGTATGTCGGATAACTCGCCGTGTTGCCCATACATATGAAGCATTGGAACTGTGCTCACAAAAAAAAGGTCCGAACCACGTCTCGGGAAAGCACCGATAAAAAAAAGACCATTATTAAGGCGTCTCACTCCCCCCCTGTCCCCTTTTTCGTCAAATATTGTCTGCTGGTGTCTGGACCGGGCGATCGAGACCAAGTCCGACCCTGTTTACGGGCGCGCTGCTGGGGGAGAACACACCGGAGGGGGTGGAGAGTCAGAGAGAGAGAGAGAGAGACGGAGAGAGAGAGAGAGACTGCAATATCATTTGTGAATCCCTCTCACAGTGCTGCAGATAGGGGCTGCCAACACATGCGGCGCGTCTGCAGGTGAGGGAACAGGCTGAATGTGCTGGACAACAATTCGACCAACGTTTCCTTAAAACTGCGTCGGATGTACATTTTTGATTGTCCTCGAGTGATATGTGTTCCTCTTAAAACATCCGTGGCATTTTGGGGTTGCAAAGGGAGAGAGAACTGTACCGCCCGCTCGCCGCAAGTGACTTGGAGGAAGAGAGCGGAGTAGGCAACCGGACAGGTAATTTGCTTCATATTCAGGCTCCGCGCGCAGACAAACCTCGCTGTCTGCTGAGTTGGAAAACTGCGCGGGCCTTTAAATGATCCTCTGACATATGTGGACATATCATCGGACAGAGGAATATTGCAGCCTCACCCCCCCAAAAAAAGAGGAGATTCGAAGCACAGACTGTGAGTAAAACGGCGGCATATGGAATGAATTCACTTTCTGGTGACATGATTCTCGGACTATAACATTTTGGCTGATTACGCGCATTTGTGGAGGCGCACGTAGGCCTATAGGCTCTACGGTGAGTTTTAGATATTATTGCGTTTTTCTTTTCTTTTTTACTCAAACAAGGAAAGAGAAACTAACACCCGGAGCTGGAGAAGGAAAAGCAGAGAACAGACGAGCAGCCCGTGCACTTGCTGCTTTGCACTGCAGCAGGAGCGATGTGAAGTCGTCCGGAGGATGAAGACTCACGCATCCCGCTGCAGAGAGCTTTGCTCTGTATGAAAACGAAATTGTACCTTCCATATTCGGACTCTCCGGCAGTGATTCAATTATTTTTTGGACATTTTTCTTTTTCAAATCTAACTGGACATTTTTTTTCAGACGAGAACAATGAGGACTACTGGTGCAGTGGACTATTTGTACTATTGCCTGCTCATCCTGCAGCTTGTGCATCAGCCCGCTGCCAAGCAAGTGCTCCGGTACCGTTTGGCTGAGGAGGGACCCCCCGATGTAAGAGTAGGGAACGTAGCCGGCGACCTGGGCATCGTTGCCGGGTCCGGCGAGGTGACATTCACGCTGGAATCAGGCTCAGATTTTTTCAAAATAGACAACATTACAGGTGAGCTCACCACCAATGAGAGACGCATAGACCGTGAAAAATTACAGCAGTGCCAAATGATATTTGATGAAAATGAGTGCTTTATAGATTTTGAAGTGTCAGTGATTGGACCAGCCCAAAGTTGGGTCGACCTCTTTGAGGGAAAAGTCATCATATTAGATATAAACGATAACACCCCGTCTTTCCCATCTCCTGTCCTGACACTGTCTGTGGAGGAAAACAGACCGATTGGAACCCTTTATTTGCTGCCCACAGCCACAGACAGAGATTTCGGCAGAAATGGAATAGAGAGATACGAGCTTATCCAGGACAATGGAGAGAACACAAGGCGCTTGAGCTCTTCTGGGGATTCATTCTCGGGGAAGAGGAGATTTGATGAAGGCGCAAGCAGGAGCAGCGTCTTTGAACTGCAAGTTGCTGACACTACTGATGGAGAGAAGCAGCCTCAACTCATCATTAAAGGGGCCCTTGATAGAGAACAGAGAGACTCCTATGAGCTCACACTGCGTGTTAGAGACGGAGGAGATCCCCCTCGCTCCTCTCAAGCCATTCTAAGGGTGATGATCACCGACGTGAATGACAACAACCCTCGGTTTGAGAAGAGTGTGTATGAAGCTGACCTACCAGAGAACAGCTCCCCTGGTGCACCCATACTGCAGCTTAAAGCGGCTGATGCAGACGTGGGGGTTAATGGTCAAATAGAGTACGTGTTTGGGGCAGCCACAGAGTCAGTGAGGAGGCTGCTGAGGCTGGATGAGAGCACAGGGTGGCTGAGTGTGTTGCACCGCATTGACCGTGAAGAAGTGAGCCAACTGAGGTTCACGGTAATGGCCCGTGACAGAGGCCAGCCCCCAAAAATGGACAAGGCCACTGTGGTGTTGAACATCAAGGATGAGAATGACAACGTTCCTTCTATAGAGATACGTAAAATTGGACGCATTTTCTTAAAAGACGGCATAGCCAACGTGGCTGAGGACGTGGTGGTGGACACACCCATTGCCTTAGTTCAGGTGTCAGACCGTGACCAGGGGGAAAACGGCATTGTGACATGCACAGTGGTAGGGGATGTTCCCTTCCAGCTCAAACCAGCCAGTGAGATGGAAGGTGAGCAGAATAAAAAGAAATATTTCCTCCACACGTCCGCAACGCTGGACTATGAGGCCACACAGGAATACCATGTGGTCATAGTGGCTGTGGACTCTGGAAGCCCAAGTCTGGCAAGTAATAACTCTGTTATCGTCAAAGTGGGCGACACTAACGACAACCCTCCTATCTTCAGCCAGAATGTAGTAGAGGTGTCGTTTCCAGAAAACAATGCCCCTGGCGAGAGGGTGACAACAGTGGCAGCCATCGACGCAGATAGTGGGAAGAATGCTGAAATAGCTTATTCCCTAGACTCATCAGTAAATGGGATTTTCTCTATCGATGCAGACAGCGGAGACATACGAGTAAACACCATTCTGGATAGAGAGCAAACAGAGCGCTACGAATTCAAAGTGATAGCCAAAGATAAAGGCATAAATACTCTACAGGGCTCTGCAACCGTGGTCGTCCTTGTGGCAGACAAGAATGACAACGAACCAAAGTTCATGCAGGACGTGTTCACCTTCTACGTCAAAGAGAACCTTGAACCAAATAGCCCAGTTGGGATGGTCACAGTTATTGACGCAGATAAAGGCCAAAATGCAGAGATGAGTCTTTTCATTGAGGAAGAGGAGGAAGTCTTTTCTATTGAGAATGACACCGGGACTATTTTCTCCACCCTGTCCTTTGACAGAGAGCAGAAAACTACATACACATTCCGTGTCAAGGCTGTGGACGGTGGTGATCCTCCGAGATCTGCCACCGCCACAGTTTCACTCTTAATCATGGATGAAAATGACAACGCGCCAACTGTCACTTTCCCAATAAACAGCTCCTACACCCTTCTACCTCCCTCCAGTAACATCAGAACAGTAGTCAGAACTGTCATAGCCACTGATACCGACACCGGCATCCACGCGGACTTGAACTACAGCATCATCGGGGGAAACCCCTTCAAGCTGTTTGAGATTGATGGGGGCACTGGGGTCATTTCGCTGGTTGCGAAGTTGGAGCTGAAGCACTACGGCCTCCACAGACTGGTGGTCCAGGTGAACGACAGGGGCCAGCCTTCACAGAGCACCACCACACTAGTCCATGTGTATGTGAACGAGACACTTTCCAATTCCACAGTTGTGGACGCCCAGGTGGCTAAGAGCCTGAGCACGTCTCTCAACACCAACATTGCTGGTGACCCCAACTATGATCTGAGCAAACAGCGGCTAAGCATTGTAATTGGAGTAGTTTCGGGCATCATGACGGTCATCCTCATAATTCTAGTTGTCGTCATGGCCCGTTACTGCCGCCCCAAGAATAAGAATGGCTACGAGGCCGGTAAAAAGGATCACGAAGACTTCTTCACACCACAGCAGCACGATAAGTCCAAGAAGCCTAAGAAAGACAAGAAGAAACAGAAGTCTAAACAGCCCCTCTATAGCAGTATCGTCACCGTAGAGGCCTCCAAACCCAACGGGCAACGCTACGATGGCGTCAACGAGAAGCTGTCGGACAGTCCTGGCATGGGTCGCTACCGCTCGGTCAACGGAGGGCCGGGGAGCCCAGATCTGGCCCGGCACTACAAGTCCAGTTCACCACTCCCTACCGTCCAGCTTCACCCGCAGTCGCCGACAGCTGGAAAAAAGCACCAGGCAGTTCAGGACCTGCCCCCTGCCAACACCTTTGTTGGCACCGGAGATAACATTTCCCTTGGATCTGACCACTGCTCTGAATACAGCAGTCAAACTATCAACAAGTACAACAAACAGGTAAGAAGACACATCTCCATGTTCTTTCCCCCCCCCCTCTTCACCACTCTTAAATGTCTTCTGTTTCTTCCTCTTAGTGTTCTCTCTACCATAATGCTTTCTGACAGGGCTAGTCTCAGTAGTCGTGTTGCCTTTATGGTGGTAATGTGTGTCAAGTTAGCGGTATTGATCTGTTTTGGTTTGGAGTGCCATTCACATGTAATATTGAAAGGGAAGAAAATCTTTAAGCTTATACGAAGGGGGTATTGTTACCACTCGACCAAACTCCTCCAACTTTTCCCCTTTTATCCCGGCATGTGTTGAGGCTGCCTTTTCTGTCTGCGGTGTCACATCTACTAAACTTAGCAACTATGTGTTGTAGTGTTGTAGACAGCTCACATAAGGGTTTGGTTTGCAGTTATTTTATCCCAGAGGGGGAGCGTGCCAGGGGCTGGCTATACTTCCCCCTTAGGCATGTCATGCCCTGCCCTGCCCCTCTGTCTGTGACAAGGCCGCCTTGTCTTCTTGTGAAAGAGAGCGAAACAAAAGAGGGAAAGGGGAGAAAGGTAGATGAGGGGTGAATGCAGCACAAACATGGCTTTGTGAGCTTTGTGAGTCAGTTTTACACTCTCGGCTTGAGTATGAACATCTGGCCAGGAAGTCTTATTAACATTCTTCTGCACTTCAGGGTCTGCATCAATTCATTGAACCTAGCAGTGAAATTGGACATTTTTATATCACCTCCCCTATTGTGCCTCGGCTTCTTTCGCTCCTTTTATCCGTTTCCTCATATATAAATGTCTGCCATCTTCTACATGCTTTTCTTCCACTCTCCTCCACCCTCCAGCTCGTCTTACCGCCCTTCTTGTCTTTGCTTTTTCTTCCTCCCAGTAATTATTTTTTTCCACTTGCAGTGCTGGAAAAATAAAGGTGTAGGTGGCATGATGTTATATTCAAATGTGGGCTTTTTTTCAGTTCAGTCTTTATATTTTTGTGTCAGCCTTTCCGCTGTGATGTGCAACAACAGCAAGAAACAAAGTTAATACATAATGAAGTCAGTTGATTTGCACTATTGTTTTATGTGTTTTCTATGGCAGTTTAATGAATTATTGATCTTTTTACATGGTGTCAGCACGGCTCTTTATAAATCTGGAGTGCTGTTTTCTTTCTGGATTGTTCCTTTTTCCCTTCCATTTTCTGTTTTTGATCTCCTCTTTCTCTTTCTCCAGCTATAGCTTTGTTCATGCTTTTTTATATATTCTATGCCCACTGTCGCCGCTCAAACTCTCCTTTGGCTCTGTGTAGTACATCCTTGCATGCCTTTCAACCACCCGTGCAGCCTCTATTCCCTCAGTATTCCTTTTGCTCTGTTTTTTTTTTTTTTTTTCAGCCTCTGCCACATCATACCCTTTACAATTGTGCTCTCTGCCTTTCCTTTTTTTCTTGCAGTGCTTTCTTTTTAAATCTCCACTCTCATCTCTCTATACCACTCTTCCCTCCCTCTTTCTATTACTCCTCTCAAATCATTTCACTTCCCTTTTTTACTTCTCTACCTTCTCCTCCCCTGCTCTGTCTTTAACAGCTTCTAATATGGTGTATTCACTGAGCTGCTTCCCAGAGTGTGAGGAGTGATGTTGCTTTCGGATGTCTCCTGCATAATTAAAAGGGCACTCTATTTGCTGCTGCGGCAGCAGCATGTATTGTGTGTCACTATGCTCCACTTATATAATTATTTATTTACTCTACATTAATGCTGCGGTAACTTTTTATGGACTGCGTTTGTTAGTAGAGAGTGTCATGGGAAAAACACAAAGAGAATTTTTCTGTGACTCTTTAGTTTGGATATTTAAACTGTAAAATTGAAGAAAGTGTTTACTGGTGTACTGGGCAATATCAGCCAGGTTTATTTGGTGGTGTATAGCTTGTTAGGTATTTAATATACAATAGCTAGCAGGTATTCAAATAGCCTTTTATATCCCATGGGCTCAGTAAATACTCACTGTTGATGATACATTCTGTTGAGGTGAATAGGGTGTAATTTAGTGGCTGCACAAGAGAGCTAATTGAAGAGAAGGTGTGTGTTCATGTGCAACAATTATGGCGTTAAACAGCCACTCCTGTATTAGATTAAATAGCGAAGCGGTCACACTCTCGCCTAGAAATATTCTGTATTCACATAAGTGCCACTACAGCTTAAAGACATAATAAAACACTTAGCGACACTTGTGTTCCTCAGTTAATTGATGGCGTCAACGAAAACCAGTGATGTTATATTGTTGTTGTATTTAGTAATTTTCTTAGGAAATGATATGCTTTGCTTTCTTGAGATTTAGTCATTATAGTTAACATTTTACCTTTTATCACATTTAGCTATTTAGCTACAAACCAGGTTGAGCCTGTTGAAGCTGTGTATGGTTAAGATTAATGCTAAGTGTTATAAGGGATATTTTTCATTGTGTGTGTGCGCGCACAGACACTCCCTCGCCCACAAACCCTTCTCTTTTACCACTCCCTCTCTTTTTCTCCATCTGTGGGAAGAGATAGAGACAGGCACAAGAAAGACGGCCCTGTTAGCAGTGTAGAGAATGGCCCCTACTGTTTCACAAGGGACTCAGGGGTCGGGCGGAGAGAACGAGAGAGCGACGGCAGAGGGAGAGAATAGAGCTGACCATTGACTGTAAGGTATCGGGTTCCGTCTTTCTCTCTCCTCGCCAACCTAATCTTACGATAACTGCAAAGGCAACTTGCAGGTAACCAAGCAACTGAGGGAGTTAATCGGTGAGGCGAGCCCTTTTTTTTTTTTTTAGCCCATCAGACATTTAAACACTCATTAAGCTGATCTAGCGGTGAGGGAGAAGCCAGCGTGTCACCTAGCATCTGCTGAGGCTTGATCAGGAGGTGCAACTGACTTGACATTTCATCTCTTTCTTTAACTCCATTGATTGGGACTTATTCATAGTTCTTTCTGCATTGCACTTGTTGGTCTGTCTGCTTATTACATACCCACGTCCAGTCCTTACATCTGCAGGCTGATGAGTAGTGCATGCACTTAACTGAGCACTTAACTGTATTACTTTTGGCAGTAGCCTCTGTTGGTACCCAGTGCCAGAAAATAACGCTGTCCAACTGTAATGTGGTGAGGAATGAAATCACTTCGCCATCGAATTAGCACAAGCCATCAACATTTGTTTTATCATTGCACTTCAAAGCGCCACTCGTTGCCGAGGTGGATCACTTTTAATCAGTGGTGAGCCACAGCAGCTTGTATTCTGTGCTCTTGCCACGTAGCCCCCCCCCCCACACAGGGCAGCAGGCAAAGCCTTGTTCCATACTCTTATACCAGGTTATCCTGCCTCAGGGCTGATGCATTAAGCATAACTGGACATTGTCCACCCAGCGCACGCTACCCGTGCCCTGGCCAGCTGTTCCTCCCCTGCGCTATTGTAGCTGCAACCTCTCCAGCGCGGGCCGAATACCGTCCGATTTGCATAGGGCAAATCCTTGCCCCGCCAAACAATATCACCATGCAAATAGGGGTCACCTGGATGGTGTTTGCAGCCAAAACATAGGAAGTGAATGCCCTTCAGGCTGCAGGCAGATCAGGAAACCAATATGGAAATGCAGCACTTTGCCTCTGGCCTCATTTGTTTCAACCAAGCAAAAATGTAGCTGCATAAAACACCTACGAAAAGCCACAAATGACCTTTATTGAAACTCACAAAGCCCCAATGCTGCAGCATTTCAGGTGTTTTCAGTTTAATAGGAACACCTGTACATGACGACATTGCCCGAACCACTTTATCTGTTCAGTGACTCATTGAGCTCAGTAAGGTAATAGCTTGTTAAGAGGATCCACAAAATATCAACAATGTTTGGCTATCCCCAACCCCTCCATGGCCGCTAATACAGGTCAACTCTGGAATAAGCAGACAAAGTAGTCACTTTTCTCAATCATCAGCAATTCTGACTTTCTGGGACATAACGAAAACTGGTGTTAAAGCAACTTCACTGAATGTCAGAAATAGGTGCCAAAGGTGAAAAAAAAAAACACAAACACAATCTGGAAATCTTGCATTTCGTAAGAAATGAAATAATGTGCAATGAGCTGGTTGGTTATTATTAGCGTATGCCCTTTTTGTGTGGTGCTGGGTACCGCCGACTGTGGCTAATTTGATCAAAATTGTTTTGGATCTATTACGGCTAATTCAATCTACGGCTGCGCAGGCTTTTGTTGTTTGTGTTATGACAGGAAAATGGAAGGAGTAAGAGTGCACAGTAATACTCGTGAAATTGCAGCGGGCAGCATTTTCTGGTATAATTTGGTTTGGTGATTTGAATACATTCGCTCTAAGGCAATTACTAATCTCAGGATTAGACGTACCTGATACGCCAGCAGAAATGGTGGGGACTGAGAGAAGGAAGTCGGAGAGCGATTGGTACAGCTGGATGCTGCTATATTACCCTGCATAATATGTTAATACTGAGGTTTTCACTCCCTGATAGGGGAAGCCATGAAAAGTGTTGCTTCATTTCCATTTCTTTGTCTCCCCCCTCTCTTCTCACCGTACAATAGATGAGCAACGGAGCTCAGTTTTCTTCGCATTGGAAATAAATACTCATGATTGAAGGAGCCCCAACTCATTGGCGAACATTTGTCACGATAAGATGCCAGAATACAGAGAATTGGGGGGAGTGAGGGGAGAAACGGACAAGAAATTTAAGCCGCATGCCACCTTGATTGCTCTCCACGCCGCTGATTGTAAGTGGCAGTGTCGGGGATGCCACCTTCTTCTCGTCGCTTCTTTCAATTTGATGTCATCGAAAATGGAATTTCATTTCAGACGCGGCAGCGATCGCATTAGATAGGGCTCGCCTGGATAAAGCCGATTCATTTTTGCAGATTTGCCTTTCCTGTGGCACTATCAATCATCGCATACTCATCATATCGCAGACTTGTTTTTCACGGCAATTTTTTAGGAGTTTGTACAGTAAATTGACTTCTACAAGGCTCCCAAGGTCTA